TCCCCCCCCCCCACCCCACAAAAAACACAACAAAGAAAACAAAACAAAAATCTTGCCATTTATTGTATTTGTTGCTTCTCACTGATGCAGAGCAGGAGTCTGTGGTGTAACGAGTATGCTCTCCACCATTGCACGCAGAAAGCATAAGTTCAGTCCCTGGGTGGGGAGGATTTTAACCCTATCCGTACGTCCTGAGGTCATTTTGTACCCCCGGGGTTGTATTCTTCACATTTTAGAATACTTCTTGTACGATGATGTCTTTGAAACTTTCAGTATTTCTCAAAAAATCATTTTGACAGACTGCTATGCAAGCGTACAGATCGGATTAATGAGAAGATTTCCTCTTTAGAAAGTGGTGGCACAGAGTTCCCCACATCGTATGGATACGATACTAAAACATGACGTACGGATAGAGTTAACAATTGAATATATATCTGTTTGATTGCTTTGTTGTTGCTTCCCTCTCAGCCCATGGCAGCTCTGGCATGAAGTAGCCTGCCTCCTAAATGATCTAGAGGTTGTTGATTGGGAAGTAGAAAATTTACTTTCAGAATGACCAAAGTCAGAAATAATAATAATATATAACATTTATATAGCGCATTTCCAAAAAATGTAGCTCAGTGCGCTTTACATTGGAATACCCATTTTCAAAATCTTTCTTACTACTTCCTTTCTTCTTGTGCAATGTAATATATTTATGCACACACACACACACACACACACACACACACACACACACACACACACACACACACACACACATATACATACACACACACATACACACACAGACTATTTTCATTCAGACGTCGGCACAGAACAGCTATAATAAAAATAACGCTAAAAGCTTATGAAGTTCATGGTGTGTACTAAATTCATACCCACCTCCTCCTACAGCTTGCACGAATAACTCGACCATAATGTGGCGTCGGTGGCTTAGTGGTTAAGCTCTCGGACTCGCAACCGTTAGGTCGTGGGTTCGAATCCCGTCAGGGGCCCGACGTTGTGTCCTTGGGAAAATTAATTAATAATATGCAATGAATGAACGAAGTGATATAATAATAGAGATAGTTTAAGTAGAGGTTTTAAGCCGCTCGCAACTGCATAAGGTCATATGAGCCCCAGAAGATTAGAGGTGTTACAAGAGAGTAACAAACATAAAAAAGAAGAACGGGAGATGAGGACGATACATGTTTGATAGAAAAGAAGAAGCAAACCACACCAGAGCACTCGCCAACCACCCACAATAATAGAGATAGCATTATAAAATGTAAAATTCCTGAGAAACAGCAAGCTCCATGTGCTTTACAATCTAGGCTATATTTTTACCTCAGCAGACCTGATAGCAGTCTGAATAAATGATCTCAACTTCCTGGGAAGCATACAGTGCCAACTGCCATTTTTATAGATGCTATAACACTTAACATACTGGCAAGATCTTTCACTGTTTGTGGCCAGGTTCCCACTCCCACCAGGATGAAGTGAGGAAAATTTGTGTTAATTGCCCTTCCCAAGGACAAAATGTCAGTTCTGAGGCTCGATCCCCCAAATCCACAACCTCACGATTCCGGTAGCCTAACCACTAGACTACCAATACCGCTATACAATCTAACAGGCATAAAAATAATTCTGCATGACGGCTCAAAGTCAAATCCAATTTAGCATGGAGCTTTTTTCCTTCAAGATTTATTTCTTTTAATATAATTTTTGTTATCGGAAAATTTAGATTTTAAGGTTAACTTAATTTTTTCTTTCTTTTCCTAACAGGATCTGCGTGGACTATGGCGCTGCTAAGGATGACATCGTATTCAAGCTTGGAGTCCCACAGGATTACCAAGGATTGGATGGGGCAAAATCAAAGGCATAACTCTTCTCAACTTTGACTTGAATATATTATTTAATATATACATGATAATATAATTTCTCCCTCCCCCTCTCTCTCTCTCTC